ACTTTATTATAGAGGTTAGCGTCTTAGAGCTATAGTAGTAAATAAATATAATAAATTATTTTAGATTACTACTCTGAGTCTTAGTAAGAAACTTTAAAACTTTAGATAATTATAGAATACGTAAGGTATATATAACGCCTATAGAAGCGCTTACGTAAGTAAGTAAGTAAAGCTAATAAGTAGTCTATAGTAGTAGTTAGCGTAGACCTTTAGAATCTACGCTACCTTATACCTTAAAAAATCTAGTTACTACTCTCTAGCGTAGCTAGAAAGTAGAGTAGCTTAATTGTATCTAGAATTTTATTAGATTCTATAAGATCTTAGTATTTTATTTAATAATTATACTTTATTATTATTATTCTTTTAAATTTTATTTTTCCTAATTATACTATTATAATATCTTATTATTATATTTACTATTTTTACTCTATATACTTATACTTTCTAGATAAAATTATTTAAGATCTAAAAAGATATTATAAATAAGACTTATCTAGATTAAGAAAGTATTACTAGTAATAGAATCTAGAAACAGCTCTACGTATAGTACTAAAATTCTCTACTTCTAGCCTAAGGTATAAGGTACTAAGGCTAGCCTAGATCTTATAGTCTAGTTACTAGCTAGCTAGTATAAGGTTTTATTAGCTATACGCCTTCCTTAAGTAAGTATAGTATTATATCTTATACTATACGAGCGTTAAATTACTTTTCTACAATTATTTTACTCCTATCTAGAGTATTAGAGTAGATTAATATAGTATTTATATTAGCTTACTACTATAGCGCGTGCAATTATCTTAAGTTTTAATATTTCTTACTAAGGCTTAAGCGCGCGCTATAGTAGTAAGCTAATATAAAGCGTTATATTAATCTACTACTATAGCTTTAAAATAGTAGTCTCTATAATTACTTAATCTTAAATAGCTACTTAGTACTTATATATTTATCTTATATCATTTAGCTATAAAGACTCTACTTTATAAAGAATAATATCTATTTTTATTCTATAAATTAATAAAATATAGCTTCTAAAAAAACTTTTAGATATTAGTAGTAAAGTATTTTAATACTTAGCTATAGTAAAGTACTATAAAATATACAAGTCTATTTATTAAAAGCTTTTATTATAGTAGATTAGTATTAATAGAAATTAAGTATAATAGTAGAAATTAAATAGAGTAGACTTTAAAAGCTTTTATAATAGTTCTTATAATAACTTAAAAAAGATTTATATTATAACTACTAAAATAGTCTAACTAAAGACTATAGTTAAAACTATAGTTCTAAGATACCTTATAAAACCTTTAGTAGATAATATAATTCTCTGCAAAGCAAAGTCTTATACCTAAACAATATAAGATAGAAGCGTAAGAGCTAATTAGTTAAGCCTATAAGATCTAATTACCTATTTAAGATAACGTAATTGCGGCGTGTTAGCGTTTCGTAAGCTGTAGCGGTAGGTTAACACAACGTATTATATTAGGTTACCGCTATAAGCGGGGCCTAAGCCTTAGCAAGAAATATTAAAACTTTAGATAGCTCTGCTTGCAGCGGTAACCTAACGTAATACGTTATGCGTACTATAAGGTGCAACGTCTATAATATAAGACAGAAGCAAATACTCTAGATAGAAGTAAATATATCGCGCGCGCAGCGTAAGGTGTAACGCGATCGCTCGCGCAAGCGAGCTTGCAGCTAATAAGATTCTGCGCTAGCCTCGCAGAGTCTTTTAGCACTACACGTAGAGCTATTTCTAGATTTTATACTTTAGTAATAGCTATAAGTAACTCTACTTCTACTTATAGAAATAAAGGTAGCTATTATTTACTAGCGTAGAGTAGTAATTAGAATTTTTAGCTAAACTAATAATAAATAAACTAAAAAGAATAAAGTATTTAAAGTCTACCTCTAGTATAATAATACTATTTAATAGATAATAGCTATATTAGTATTCTACTATTATAGTTACTATTAGAAACTAAATTATAATTAAGTAGTTATCTCTATTAGCTTAAGTAATATTATATTAATAGCTAAAGATTTAATATAGTAAAGTATTAAAATATTTTCTCTATTAGTAAGACCTTAAGAGTAACATATTATTAGTCTATATAAAAATCTTAGTATTAATTATAATATATACTAAATTTATTAAAATCTACTAGTAGTCTTAAAACTACTAGCTAAGTATCTTTTAATATATATCTATTAAATAGAGTCTATAAAATTAGGTATAAAGCACTAATTAAGAACTTTTAATAAAAGTAGTATATTTATATAAGTAAGTTAGAAAGTTAACTAGTATAAGCTTAAAGACTTATATAGTAGTTATACTCTATTAAAAATTAAAAAACTATAACCTAAGTATAAGTTAGTTAAGTAAAGTATTTATAATAACGTAAAGCACTACTAAGCTAGCTACACTACTAAGCTAGCTACTTTTTCTTAGTATTGCGAACACTACGTACAAAATATAAAATTACTCTATATTTTCTATAGATTCTTTATACAACGTAGCTGCATTAGATTTAGAATCTTCTTCTATATTTTTCTAATACGTATAAGTATTATATCTAGTCTCTCTATAATTACTACAGCGTTATTAAGCTAGCTAAGTCCTTTCTTAACTACCTTTACTACTACTTTTCTTAGACTTTATATAAGTAGTAGAAGTACTTTTAGCTACCTGTAATGCGCCTATACTAAACTCTAGTGTACTACCTGTCTAAATCTACTTCTTTTTACGCCCTTTGCGCTTTATTAACTCTACTACTTACTTTTTAAGCTCTTATACGTAGGCTTTAATAAAGATATTCTTATATAGTATCTTTTTAGCTTCTTTAATAAGCTTTAAGAAGCCTTCTTAAGCACTTATTAGAGATTATATAAAGAATTCTCTTACTAGCCTTAATTACAACCTAAATTTATACGTATTACTTAGTATTCTTAACTACTAGAGTGTTTTTAGTAGAGCAACTAGTAGTAGCGTATAAAAGTAGACTTTAAAGTAATTAAGAACTCTTTACGTATTAATAGAAACTAGTCCTACTGCTTTAAAGGCCTTCTTATAGTTCTTATACGTAAATACGTTAAAAAACGCGTTCTTAAAAGCTAGAAGAAAGCCTTCTTTATTAATATAGTAAACGCGTTAGTATACTAAGTTTTATATACGCTAAGAGTACTTTAGTTTTAATAGTAAGAAACACACTACGTTAAGTAGCTAAAGTATATATAATAAATAAGTAGGTATATAAAGAGTTAGAATCTTTTATATAAAGTAGTAGTTCTTAAAATTCTAGTTAAAGTAGCTTCTATAGCTATCTAAGATAAAAAGCCTATATAACTTTACCTAACGTAACTTTATATACTTATTAAAGTGCTTTAACTACTTAAGGCTAAGCTAATTATTTATTTAGCTATTCTTTAATATAGAGAGCTTTTAGTTATATAGTATTAAAGTCTTCTTATACTATACTAAGATGTAGACGCGTCTCTTATAGATAATAAAGAGTAAAGTTACGTACTTAGTAGCGTAGATACTCTAGACAACTATAACTTACTTATAATTACCTAGCTAGATTAAGTTTAGTCTTATATAACACTTTAAGCTTATTATTACTTTTATTAAGCTAATAACGCCTATCTAGAGGTCTATCTTATTAAAGTTATAGATATTAGCGTTAAGAACTCTATACTTAGCTTTTATCTCTTATATAAGCTTAAACTAGGCGCTAATAACCTTTAGGTCTTTCTAAAGTATTTTTTAGCAATTCTTTACTTAGTTAAAGACTATCTTAAGCTTCTTTATACGCTAAATAAAGCGCTCTACCTAGTTCTTACTAATAGGTGTTCTACTACGTATAGCTAGTAGTTTGTCTATAATATCTACTACCTTATAAAACTAAAAAGTAAAATCTTACGCGTTTAGCTTAAGAATATATTATATAATAGTTTTCTCTTTTATAAAAGAAAGTTTCTAATAGTTTAGTAGTACTTAAGCTTAATACTTAATTTTGTTAAGCTAATTAGAAAGCTACTAATATTATACGCTAAAGGTAGTAGTAGCGCGTTATAAGGTCTAAAATTAACCTAAGGTATAGGCTGTAAGAGTAAGTTTAATTCTACCTTCTTGCTAATTAAATTCTATTATACGTTATAATTACATTACTATTTATACGTAGTGTTTATAATACTAAGAAAAAGTAGCTAGCTTAGTAGTGTAGCTAGCTTAGTAGTGCTTTACGTTATATTTTTTAAATAATATAAAACTTATATTATTACTATAATAGCTTAGTAACCTTTGCTACTTTAGTAAAAGGTTTCTATATTTTTATAATTAATATCTTATTTTAATCAGCTAATATAGTACTTTATTTCTATTAAAATATAATAAGCTAAATAGCGTTATTAAATAATAAATCTTGCTAGATTTCTTTACAGAATAAGATATTTGTAGAGTAGTTACTATAATAAAGCGCTTTAAGCCTACGTACGTGTTAGAGGCTTCTAAGGTCTCGTTTAAGCTGACATGCATCTACGCGACGCGGACAACTCTCTCTGCGCCCTGCAAGGCTTGGTCTGCTCGTACGCAGAACCTGAGAACAGTCGTCGCAAATCAGCTCACAAGCTTAATACATCCGGTCGCTCTCGTCCGCCAAAGTTCGTTCACCCAATAACCTATCTCCGTTTGTCAAATGAAAGGTGAACCTCTCACGCCATGCTCGTTCGGAGGGGGCGTGCTCTGCGCGTCAGCCTGAGAGACTCAACGTACGGCGTGCTTCTCCGCGTGTTTGGACCGTAGGCTACAGCCATGTTGAAGCTGCATTGCTCGCTGCTCCCCAAAGTCTCCACCATTTGCGCTTCAACTCTACCTCGTCCGGCGCGGATATAGGACGTCGCAGGTGCAAACACCGTCTTTATTGTTCTATTTAATGCTTCATGTCCTCGCATCTGAGTATGGAACGCATCACGCTCAGACTTGCATCGCTTCAACCTCCGCTATGCCTAACACTACTTTTAACCCCGACGCTCTCCCCGATCTCAAGGACAAAGTGTTCATCGTCACCGGAGGAAACTCAGGCATGTACGTGTTGCAAACACCATTAGTGAATGACCTATTCAACTAACAATACCTTTAACAGAGGATACTACACCGTAGCCCATCTCGCAGAACATGGCGCGCACGTATACATGTGCGCTCGCAACGTGGACAAGGGCACAGAAGCAATAGCCAGAATCAAGAACACACACCCATCCGCCCACATCGACCTTCTACAAATGGATCTCAAAGTTCTCACCAGCGTTGTCGCAGCCGCGCAACGCTTCCTCACGCTCGAGACCGCGCTGCACGGCCTCGTCAACAACGCCGGCATCATGGCAACGCCATTCGAGCTGACCCAAGACGGGCACGAAGCGCAGTGGCAGACGAACTACCTATCGCACTGGGTATTCACACATCACCTCCTTCCCTTGATGCTAGCAACATCCAAAACGCTTCCCCCCGGAAGCGTGCGCATCGTTAATCTCACTTCGTCCGGACACTTGCAAGCGCCGAAAGGCGGAATTAACTTCGATAACCCCGCGTTGAAAGATGCGGGCGACATGGTTCGCTACGGGCAGAGTAAGCTCGCTAACATCCTGCATACCAAGTCGCTTCACAAGGCGTACGGTCCGGGGTCAGCAAGCGCCACCGACAACGAGGGAGAAATCTGGACTTCTTGTGTGCATCCGGGGCTCGTGGAGACGAATCTGCAAGAGGGTGTGAACAAATCGAATTTGGCCATGCAGGGCATGATCACGGTTTTGCGAAAGACTGGTATGTTTTGGTCGTCGGATAGGGGCTCGTATAATAGTCTTTACTGTGTTGCGGGTGATGGCATGAAGGCGGAGCAGAGTGGCGGATATCTTGAGATCTTTGGTCGCTTTGGGGAGCCAACGTGCGAGAGTAAGCCTGCGAGGAATGCGGCGCTTGCGGAGCGGTTGGAAGAGTATACCAAGGAGGAGATGAAGAAGGGAGGTTGGGTTCAGTAATGATGTTGTACATTTTCCTTCTTGCTTTCAAGATATAATGGGAACTTAGATGGGCTTTGTAATACATAATAGAAGTTTGCTAGACGATATGTAGAGCGCAATCATGATGCGATTAGAATGAAACGAGAGAACAGTCGCTAAGAATGGCGTAAAGACCAAAGTGTACGAGGCGAAGGCCCGCCACAAATACGATGCTCACGAAGTCCCGGACGTACGTGTGGCTTTCACCTTTCGAGACCCAGGACCGTCATCACAGCTCTGATCTTCAACGCAGTCATCAGCTTCCTCGATCTTCTTCCGCTTCTTGCCCTCCTTATGATGAACGGCTTTATGATGCTCATTCATCTTATCCTTCCTTCCCCTAAAGCCTCTACCTTTCTTGCCGCCTACTGGATTCCTGGAGCGCACACAGCCAGACTCTGGGCAGAAGTACTCGATCGAACGACGCGCGTGTATGTTCTCGTGGTGTCGCTTGAAGTCAGCATGACGGTTGAAGGTAAGGTAGTCACCATCGTCGAGGCAGGCTTCGTTGAGACACTTGAACTTCCCCGCTAGGGTGACTTGACCAATGATTGGATCGGTACGGGAAGATGGAGAGTTCGATGTGCGGCGCCGACGTCTGTTTGAGCGTTGTGGGCTTGCAGGTGAGGACCGGGTAGGAGAGCAGGAGCTGGGTTGAGAGTAGCTCTCCGACGCGATGTGGCGGGGCGGGGTCATGCGACTAGACAGCGGTGAGTCTACGATCATCATGGGCCTTTGTCTTCATGCTTACGGTTGGTTTTGAAAAGGTGCATGTTCGCCAAATGGTGCTTGGAAGACACGAGAGCTGGGTGAAAACGTGGATGAAAGAGCTGAATGTCTGCGTTTCCGACGTTAGAGTCGACTCTGGAGTTTAAGAACCAAAGAACTAGGTTTCCATTTTGTTCCAGGCGATGGGATTCTCTGGTCGACAATCTATCGATAACAAGAACGGTGTTCCAAGGTATGTAATGGTCATGGGAGATAGGCGGTAACTGATCAGGTGGAACAGGATTCAGCTAAGACGCTGATACAGGTAGATAGCGAGGAGGTGGTATCTTAGACTGATATGTGTCGTGGCCAGGTCCAACATGCTGAAGAGTCGTAAAATGGTTGCTCATTGAACCTTCTGGCACTCTACGGAGGAGCGGTTCAAATGTATCTCTTGTGTAAGGTTTTGGGTGATGCTGCTAATCGAAAGGCTCTCTATGGATATCTCCACACTCATCTGAGCTTGCTCATGTCCTTCTCTTGCTATGAGTTTGGCAATGTCGCTTGTAATGAGATCATTTGCGTTGAAGACAGACGAAAAGAACTAGGCAAGCTTTACCTTTCAGAATGACACATCGGCTGATGATGGTCCAGAATATGGTAGAGGCAATTATTCTAGGTGAGGTTAAGTCATCGGGGTAAATGGCTTGGGTCAGGTCCTGAGAAGCCATAGAGTGAAAGGTTGAACCTCTAATGCTTTACTTGATGTGGGAGTAGTGAGCGTACGTCCGGTGACTGCTACTTGTATGATAAGGTCGGGGAGTTCAATCGTTGCCAGTGCCAGGTACCGGATAGTTCGATAGAGCAGCGACGCTAACCTCGCTATGTAGAGGACCAGTCGATTCAAACGTTGCTTGATGGTAGAGGCAGGTGCTTGGAAGTACCAGAAGAGTGCGCAGATCGCAGCGTAAAACTGCGAACGAGTAATTGGACACTTCAGTCGAAGTACGGTGCGCAAGGTCGTTCGATTTCATGTGATGAGCAACGACTTACCATGACACAGATGCGTTTGTCGCCTTTCGCTGAACGGATTGAAGCCGTGCGATGTTCCAGGTTGAGGGTTTCCAGTATGCCAATGTAGAGTCCATTTATACGAGTAAGTGCATCCAAACGGTACAAGATGTTTCCAGGTCTGGATGTAAATGACGGTTCCATGTTCCAGGTTGGATTTCGAACAATCCTGTGGCTTGTTGATCGCAAACTGAATATTCTGAAGGAAACTTACTCGTTATCGTATCCAAAGTGACCAAAAACCTTGCTCTCATCCTCACGTTCTGGCATGCCTTCGTCGATGATGTCGTTGATCGCATATTCGAATGGACTCATCGCTGCCGCTGCAAAATGCTCGTATTCCATGTTTGGCGAGATGTCAGATGACCGTCGAGGACGAAAGTGCACGGAATGTGAGTTTGATCGAAATAGATAAGGCTGAGGCGCAGTGCGTTGGCTTGCTGACGTGCTTGAGATGGAGCGGGACATTGCTGACCCAGTCGGAACCAAGATACTTCCAAATGAACCGCGGGACGCTCGCTGCAGGGATGTAGACAATGATCGCTGACCGGAAGATACTGATGAGTATTGCGAAGCCGATCGCGACATGTCACCGTTCACCGGAACTTGTGTGTAGCCGATGGGGCTGTGTACTGTTTGGTGTATATTGGCACAAGGCTGAGCCTCAGCCTGGTGAGAGATCGAGTGTCGTGGTGTGCCGCCTATTGACGAGCAAGAGAACATTGAGTCATGTCGATGAGTTGTTGTTGGCGAAAGCAGCTGCTGGTTGTTTCGATATTGTGAAGCTGATTCGATAGTGTTCTGACCGTTGATGTCGACACCAATTCCTTGACCGTTAAACAGGTCACGCATACTGCCGCCCCCGAAGAAGTATGTGTTGTTGTCCATGTGTAAGAGAACTGCAGGAGTGATATGTTGAGTAGTGGGCACTAATGGGTAGCGTGAGGCAGCTGTGGGTGTATCAGGAAAAGTGCTGGGCTCGGATGGAGTGATGGTGAGTACAGGAGCTAAAGTCTGGATGGCAGCATGCCACAATATAGCTTCAAGTGAAGCGACTAGGGCAAGCGCCCTGAACTTTCCTTTTCGAAGGACCTCTGCAGCCCGCCTGCATGTATTGAGCCTCGAGGTGGCTGTTCGCACTGAGGCATACCAAATTCCAAGGCAAACTAGGCAAATGGGGCTTACGCGGGTCTTTTGGCTGTGAGGGCTGCATGCAGACTGCGACAGCAGTCGATAGCCCAACGATTGTGATTGGGCACGTTGATTGCGACATGCGAGTACTATCTGCAAGGTGAGAATGCTGAGGACATGGCATGAGGTACAAGTGGGAGAGGTATCTTGGAAGTAGCCGCACGATCACATGCAAGCAGAAAACGGCAGGCGCACCCGACCGCCTCACCTTTCGTCGGGGTCCTTCAAAAGCTAGCCATCACTCTCCAATCTGGATTGAATCAAGTTCCTGTCGTCGACACCATGATGGATCGTTAATTTCTTTTACTCATCTTTCGACTATTGGTTGACGTCTCACGCCTTCACGCTCCACACCTTGATGCTCGCATCGCCTCCCGCCGAAATGACCTTGAGACCCTTCTCCCATGCGACACCATTGACGCCATCCTTGTGAGCGTTAAGAGCCTTGATACGCTTGCCAGGGTCTTCTGTGCTCCAGACCATAACATTGGTGTCCAGACTGCCACTTGCGGCATAGTTCTCACTCTCGTCCCAGGCCAGGCAGGTGATGCGGGCGGTATGGGCACTCCATCTGTCCGTGATAACCTTCCAGTCTCCGCCTACCTCAAATGCGTAGATCTTACCGTTTCCAGCACCCACTGCCAGCTTCTTGCCTGAGGCAGAAAAGGCGAGTGCGGAGATGGGAGCAGTTGCACGGCGGAGCACTGTGTCAGCCTCCTTGAGCTCAGTGCCAGTAAGGGTGTAGATGTGTACTAGCTTGTCATCTCCACCAACAGCAACGGTAGAGCCGTGCGCTGCGATTGAGGTCGGGGCGAATCTGACCGGTAACGAGCTGACCTGGGCCCCCTTAGAGTATACTGCGATGGCATCGGTAGAAGGTATTAGCACGGTGCTCGATGTCGCGGCAACGCCCTTGGGTTGGAATTTGAGATCGTGAGCCTCGCCAGTGAAGATCTTGTCTGGAACAGACATGGAGCGTAACGTGTCATCCCAGCCAACACTGTACAGCTCCGCCTCATTCTTGCTGTCGGAGGTCGTGATGCCGGCGACGTAACTTGAATGCGCTGCGCCTTCGACCTTGTCAGCCAATCCAGTCGTGGTGTCCCATGCGAGGACTCGGCCGTCATAGCTTCCCGTGGCGAAAGTAGATCCAGCGATGGCAGCCGATGTAATGTTCTTGGAATGGCCACGGATGATGCGCGTTGGCTTTGGGTTGCCGTCGACGAGGTAGTTCAGGTTTCCTTCGAGATCCACACTGACGATCAGACCATCACTGCGGCCGGTGGGCCATACCACACCAACCTGCTGGTCGGGTATGCTAGCGACGCCTTCCTCGCCCATCCTCCAGGTCTGAATGTTTTTGCCTGCTTCCGGGTCCCATATCCGGACCGTCTGGTCCGCACTGGCTGTGACGAACTTCTTTGAGTCCTTGGACCACGACACGCCGAAGATGCTGCCGGTATGTACACCCTCGCCAATCTGTCCCTTTGCCTCGCCGGTTTTGCCATCGTATAGCCATATGCGCTTGTCGGCGCCAACGCTTGCGAATACTGAACCGTCGGGCGAGAAGGCGGTGCCGAAGACGAAGCGGTTGTGCTGACCTCTCAGACTGGTGTTGAACTTGAAGGGAGCGCCGTGGTAGAAGACCAGGCTGGTATCGTCGGAGCCCGTGGCGGCGCGGAGGGGTCGTTGCTGGCGGATAGACACGCAATTGATCTGTGACGAGTGGCCTGAGATCTCGCCCACGCTGTTGCCGCTGTCTGCCGTGATGCAGTGGCCGAAGCGCTCCTTGCCGTCGCCGACAGCTATGATGCGCTGCGAGTCGCCGTCCCATGCCAAGTCGTTGATGCGGCCTGCGATGATGTGGTAGTCGCCTGCACCGCGTCAGCTCCCTCGCTCTGTATCCTGCTATGCCTCACCCACCTTTTGTAGCTCCTTCACCTGCGCAGTCCCACACTTTAACAGTACCCGAGACATCTCCACTAGCTACGTAGAAGCCGGAGGGCGAGAAGCGGGCGACAGTCGTCTGAGTCGTGTGTTGGGTGTATTGTTTACTAACAGCCGGGTCGTCGATGGAGCGCAGGAAGACGGATTTGCCTGACTACATGTCCAATTAGCTCCGCGAAAGCTTCGGGTAGTCGAGAGACTCACGGCATAGGCAATCCGTTCGCCCTTGGGGTCCGAGGAGAGGGGTGTTGCCTGTCCGCGCGTTGTCGAAGGGGACGCTGCCCAGATGGCGTCTGTTTACGGTTAGTAGCTGCTATGCAGAAGCTATCTGGGAGCTCATACCTGATACTAGAGACATTGTGCGCGCGGTTCGAAGGACAGTGAGTAGCAAAGGGTACGTGCTGTGTCAATTGCAGAGGAAGCCTGCCTGTAGCTGCCAGCGTTGGCGGTGGCCTCTGCGTCGTCACCGCCTACGTTTCAGCGACCAGCCACGAGTCGCGGGGCAGGTGGGGGTGGCTCCTTCATGACAGCTCACCTGGGGGTAGCTACTGAACATGTTCACATGTTACTCAGGTACCAGCTCTACATGTCAGCACCCATGGTCCGCGTTCCTGTTGCTGATCGTCCAGCTTTGCGGCATGCTTCAGCCAACATCGCATTTCATCATCGACGCCAGGTCTAGAACGAAATACCGCCGAGATGACTATTTAAATAACTCCTTCGATCAAGGATACATCCCAGAACCACATGCGCATGCTTGCAATTCACCGCTGACTGCATGGAAATATCTGGTTGCGATTTGAAGAGGCTGGCACACCGAACAACCTTGGAATGCCCCAGCAGACCCTTGGCGCACGTCATTTCCGCGCGTTGCAAGTCGCGTTGAGATATCTTCAAGACTGAACTGATATACAACTGCATCCTGCATCATTGACTCACTGTCTCGCACATCGCCCATTCTGGACGCTATTCGCTTCCCTCGTTCGCTGTCGCGTCGTTCGCTGTACAACGTCATCACCCGGGAACCCGGCATCCGGTAGCCTACATCCTCAACATCATCATCACCATTCTCATTGCGGAAGAGCAAAGACATCAAACACCATCAACATGTGTCTCATGCGGTCTTACGAAACGCGCGGTCGTACCGTCATTGAACCACCTCCCCGACGAGGAAACTACACGTCCCATACACCAGCCGGCGTGATGCGTCTGCCGCGCGAATGGCGCCGGACCTCAGTCGAGAGCTTCAGCGACGACGGCCGCTACGTCGAGTACAGGTTCGTAATAACTTTATGGCACCATTGGTTGTCTGACACTTACATCATCCAGGCGATCGCGATCTCGTCCCCGTGCTATTGAGTACGTCGAAGAGCCTCGCATACGTGCAAGGAGCCGTGCGAGGAGTCGGGCGAGGAGTGTGTCCAGGCGACGAATCAGCGACGTTGAGATTGTCAGGCCAGCAAGGACCAGCTACATTGACCCTCGTGGAAGTGGTTATGTGGACGAAAGGGTTACGAGGCGAAGTGTCAGCCGCGTGAGACATTGAGGAGTCACATCTCTGCAGACAAGAAAATGAGGTATGTGTGATCACAGAAGAGAGCAAGCTAGTGCGTGCTAACACGCTCAGGTTTTGAATTGAATATGTACATGTGGGATACATAGAAGTTTTGTAATGACGAACATTTAACTTTCAACAAACCAACAATGCCTGCGGCAAGAAATGTCCCATGTTGCTCACCAACTTCTTGAAGCCTACCCACTTCGAAGATCATCCCTTCAGGCCTAACACAACAAGCCATCTAATAGCTCAACAGCAATCTACGATGGAAATATTTCGGAAACTCCCATCCGGAGATAAATAATAGTGTACATCTTAGGGCGTAGCAACCCCTGCCGCTAACCGCTTCCGAGCTGCACTCCAAGGTGGGGCGCTATATCCGACTCATAGCTAAACTTCGTCATCAGATTTTGAGTCACGATGAGGGAACGACATACAAGTCTTTGAAAACAACGCTCATTCTCACCAATCTACTCATCGTCCCAATCCTACACCATGGCATCCAACCCCATGCAACGATGCTGCATCGTCGGCGTAAAGCACTCAGGCACACCAAAAGGACAAATCATCCACATCGACAACAGTACACCTTCCTCCATCCCCACCCCTTAACCCTTCCCATCTAACCCACAAACAAGTCCGCACATACACCACCTACCCCCCCAACAACCCCTCCCCCTCAAACGCCATCCTCATCATGACCGACGTCCTCGGCATGGACTTCCCCAACACCCAACTCATCGCCGACCAGTTCGCGCAAAACGGCTATCTAACCGTCATCCCCGACGTCTTCAACGGGAGCGAAGTGCCGTTTCCGCCTCCGGAGTCGTTTGACTTGCAGGAGTATGTTGAGACGGTTATGCCGAAGACTGATACTGTGGATCCTATGTTTGAGACGGTGATTAAGTATCTGAGGGACGAGTTGGGGATTAAGAGGTTGGGCGGTGTGGGATATTGTTTCGGCGGGAAGTACGTATGTCGGTTTTTGAAAGAAGGGGGGTTGAGGAATGGGGGGATTGACGCGGGGTTTACTGCGCATCCAAGTTTCGTGGATGCGGAGGAAGTTAGGGATATTAGGGGTCCGTTGAGTATTGCTGCTGCAGGTATGACTTTCAATTGTAACATTCGCGTTTCATTCCTTCCATTCATTCCATTCATCAAACCTACTCCAAAAAACCAAACTGTCGAGACAAAGACATAAACAAAAAGAACGCACTAACGATACCAACAACAACTCTAGAAACCGATTCCATCTTTCCAGCCGAGAAGCGGCGCGAGACAGAAGATATCCTCAAAGACCACACCGTTCCGTACCAGATGTTCCTGTATTCGGATGTCGAGCATGGGTTTGGTGTTAAAGGGGATTTGTCGCATGCGAAGGCGAGGTTTGCGAAGGAACAGGCTTTTTTGCAGGCGGTGGGCTGGTTGGACGAGTATGTTAAGAAAGGGGCGGGGGTGTAGGGGATTTCTCGGGGAGGTTAGGGAAGTTCGTGAGGGTGTTAGACAGGTGTGGTATGGCTGTTTCGTCAGCTGAGTGTGCGTCTTGGAGGGCGGTGTCGTATTCGTGTAATGTGCATTTGAGCCTGGTGATCTCATCTGGTCTGGCGAGTTGCTCCAAGTTCTCAGTCGTGTGTTTCTCCAGCCAGATAGGAGCCATCATCTCGACATCGGTACTAGCATCCGAAAAGTCGCAGTACATCCGTACGAAGTCAACAATGGTGTCGATCGAAGCCAAAACTGCTGAGAGAACCCAGGCGCAGAAGCTGATGGCGAAGTACGTGAAGAGGAACAGAGTTATCAGAAGACAACCCCAGAGATAGCCTGTGAGGATACTGTCGAGTACTTCGTTGGGTTGCGGCATGGATGTCGATGGCCGGAACATGACCGCTTGGTGGGGGAAGAGAGGTGGCATGGTCGTGAGGTAAGACGGCAGAGTAGGTTCGGGTGACTTCTCGGTCGCGAGGCAAGGGTAAAGCGTGCTGACGACAATGTACCGAGTGTAGCAATGTCGGTGGTTGGAGTAAGGCTAGCCGAAGACGATTTACCGTTCGTAGCAATATGAGAACCCAGCAATGGTGGGTGTTGGACCGCGATGGTTGAGGTCGGGATTTGTTTGTGAGAACATGCGTGATGGCTAGAAGGCTACAGTTGTGCTTGCGTCGTCGTCGAGAGTCGCGCCTTACGATCCGGGTCTAGCCATAAACAGTTCTCATGTTCAGGCGATAGATAGAAAGTGCCGCCTTCAGTTCAAGAAGAAGGTGCTGACATGCCACTGTCAATCACCGTCTCCAAACTCCGCCCTTCCATCTTAACTTTCTCCGCCCACGGCGGCTCTCCATCCTCATCAAACTCCGCCCACTGAAAAAACCCACAACTCTCCCGACCCGGCACATAACCCGCATGGCACATCCACATATACCTCCCCCTCGATTCCTTCTTCCTCGTCGCGCACCTCAACACAGTCGAAACACCACACTTGCATTTCGGCGTATACCTCGGATGGAGGCTATCCTTATAGAACCGATACGTGATATTGAGACGCTTGTTCTTCGCCAGCGGATGAGGATCGATAGCTTGGGCCGGCGCAATCGAGTGTTTCCATTCTTCTTGCATCTCAGCATGCATGACCAGGAGCGAGTTGTGTGGTAAATGAATGCTGATTTGGCCTTGTGCGTCCGCGAGAGAACCGTCGTCTTTTCGGTGCTCGTCGTCTTCGGCGACGGTCTTGCGGACCCGGAATTCGCGCGCTACGCCGAGGCTTAGACTGCCGATGACGGCTCGTGGACCTAGGTAGGTGAGTTGGTCGGCGTGGTATCCGACGCTCTCTTGTGGTCCGTCGTAGCAGTTGACGAAGGCGGTGTTGGCTTTCCAGGGGTGAGGGGATTGGTATCTGAGTTTCTTGCCGTTGGGGTAGAAGTCGCGGATTCTGCGTTGGATTTCGCGGTTGACGGCGTCTTCGACTTGGGGGCATGCGTTGAGCATTTCTGGTAGGCTTTGTCGGACATCCTGGGTGGAATTAGCATCTTGGTGGTGTTCCTTGTCAGCGGTCTTACCTCGATCTGGCCACCGTTGTAGATGTATTCCGTCTTTTGTCGTTCCGCCTCTTCTAAGCTGTTGACGTAGAAGGAGTACGTGTGTGGGCTTACAACAACTCTGTCGAAAAGCTTGAACTCGTACCTGTCGTAGGTCGACGAGGCGTCCAGTAATTGCGAAAGCAGTGCATCCGCTTGCTCTACCGGAAGAAAGTTGTGTATGATTGAACAGGGCGTATGTGCTTCGATGTCTTCTGGGCTATAGAGAGATAGCGTCTTGCCCTTTCTCACAAGTGGCTTCTTGGTCAACGCGCCGTTGGCGGGAGCAATGCGATACGCGCTCAGAGATGATTGATAGCCCACTGTCGATGATGCGGGTCGCTTGCGTGGGGACGCAACTTGAGGCCGCGATAGACATTCCGAGGCTTGTTCAACGGCCCCCTCAGCAGCGAGCAATGCTTCAAGCAGAGTCCCTTCATCAACTGTAGGATGTAAAGATGCCAGCAAGGCCAGCTTGAAATCGGTAGACTCTTCTTCTGGATCTTTAGCCTCTGAAGGCCGCGTGCTCGTACTCGCCACTGACTTGGACGGCCCCTCATCCCACTTCCTCTTGCGCGACACAAACGCGTCCATACCGACTGTGGTGCGTTACAATGGCGCGCATTGTCGTATCAACAAACTGAAATGGCTTCCTCGACAGTGGCGACTGGCGTAAAAGAAGACGCGCTGTCACGGGACAACCTCCGGCGCCACACCAGCCCCGCCAGAATCCAAAGGCGCCTCGGTCAACCGACACCTCGTCATCCGCAACCATGCTGCAGCACAACACCAACTCCACGTCCCGGCGCGACATGACGCGCCGTACCATACCCATTCTCCACGCGCCGTAATCCCAAATCCCAGCCCCCTTCACCATCACCCACCATGCTCGAGTTCCGCACCCAAGGCTTCAACGGCTACTCGGTCAAATACAGCCCCTTCTTCGACTCGCGCATCGCCGTCGCAACATCCGCCAACTTCGGGCTCGTCGGAAACGGACGCCTGTACATACTAGGCCTTACAGCGAATGGCATCGTAGCCGAGAAATGGTACTATCACCACCCCTCTTCCACCCTACTATTACTATCACATGCTAACCCACCCAACCCGCAGGTTCGACACGCAAGACTCACTCTTCGACAGCACGTGGTCCGAAGCGCACGAGAACCAACTCCTCACCGCCGGCGGCGACGGCTCGGTAAAACTCTTCGACATAAACGTGCCCAACTTCCCCATCGCATCCTGGCAAGAGCACGCGCGCGAAGTCTTTGCCGTCCACTGGAACCTCGTCGCAAAAGACACTTTCCTATCCTCGTCCTGGGACGGCACAATCAAGATCTGGAATCCGAATGCGGATGCGAGTATAACCACGCTGCCGACGCATTCATGTACCTACAGTGCGAGTTTCAGTCCGCACAGTCCGAGTGTGCTGTCAAGTGTGAGTAGTGATAGCCATTTGAGGGTTTTCGATCTGAGGACGCCGGCGAGTGCGAGTAATCACTTGACGATGAGTGTGCCGATTCATCAGCCGCCGAAAGCGAGGATGGGACATGCGTCGGGCGTGGGTGTTGCGCCTGCGGAGGCGTTGACGCATGATTGGAATAAATATCGGGATACTATCGTTGCAACCGCAGGTGTGGATCGCGTGATACGCACGTTTGATATCAGGATGCCGCAGCAGGGGCCTGTTGCTGTTTTACCAGGACACGAGTATGCGGTTCGGAAGTTGAGTTGGAGTCCGCATTTGAGCGATATATTGCTTAGTGCGAGTTACGATATGACGTGTCGGGTGTGGACGGATGGGAGTGCTATGGGTGTGGGGAGTGTGAAGCAGGAGAATATGCTGGAGGATCCTATGTTCTATGGCGGGGGTAGGGAAATGGGGAGAATGGGGAGGCATACCGAGTTCGTCACAGGCGTTGATTGGTGTTTGTTTGGCGCAGAGGGCTGGTGTGCTAGTACGGGGTGGGACGAGAGGGTTATGGTATGGGATTGCCGGGCTATCATGCAATGAAATGACGACGTTCCATGCAACATGCGCTCGACACTGAGATATATCTGTTCTCCATTCCCTACAAAAGTAACAATGCTCAGCGAGATACACCGCGAGTCATAATGCCGACCACCAACTCAACGAGACAACAAGCAAAAGACAGGGTATCATCCCATAGCTACACCCAGACACCGAAATGCAAATCCCACATGCGCCGCCCAAATGCCGAAGCTCACAAACGCCGCTATGCTCCTTTCCTCTATCATTCGCTTCCATGACCTTCCGACCGATCGCCTAGGTTCAGAACATCGTCAAGCGCATCGTCCATCTCGTGCATGTCTTGTACGCTGCCTCCTTGCAGATGCATGCCCACTTCATCGTCGATCTGCACCGGGTCGCCAGAGTCAACTTGAAGACCTTCCTATAGATCGCCGAGGTTCAGAATATCGTCAAGCGCATCGTCCATCTCTTGCATATCCTGTACACTGCCTCCTTGCCAGTGCATACCCACTTCATCATCAATCTGCATCGGATCACCAAAGTCGATTGTCCAAGTCTCGCCGTTGAGGTCGTGCTTAGTCCCGTTTGCAATGCCATTGATACCATTGGTGAGAGTACCATTCGTAAGCGGTTTCGCGGGCGCATTGTAGATGTCCTCGATGCCGTGCGTATCCAGAAACCTCGAGTTCATTATCGATCCCGCAATCAGTGGTGTTTGTCCGAGGTACGAGTCTCCGAGTTCCAGCGCGAGTCTCAGGTCCTCCATACACAGGAGTTTCCTCTTTCGTCGTTCTTCTGCTTCGACGGGGAGTTCGCCGCCGATGCCTCGGGCCAGCTCGCCGCGGTCTACTAATCTTTCCTCTCGCGCGAGCTTCTTCTTGAACTCGCCTGTGCGCACATATCCAGGGCCGTTACTGCTTACTTTGCCTAGTAAGTTTGCCAGTGCTTCTTTTATGTATGTCTCGGTAGCGATGTTGAGGTAGTCTGGGCAATCGGACGTATGGCCTTGAGGTAGTCCGAACTCGTAGCATATTGGTAGGAGGCGGTAGGATATCGTCGTCGCGGTGGGGAATTCGTGCGTCTCGGCGTAGAGGGCCGAGGTATACCGTTTCCGAATCTCGAGTTCCCAGTCTGATGACGAGTCGTTAGCATCTCAAGACATAAAGGAGGGGTATAGCAAATGTCGTGTACGTACTCGTCTTTCCAAATCCACCGCCCTGGTTGCTGCTCGGCCCAACATCGAGCTGCTTCGCCCGTCTCGCGTCAACATACTCCTGCACCGGTCCAGCAGCACCCGCGCCCAAGCCCTCGAGCCCCGTACTCAGCGGGCTCTCGCCTGCCGGTATACCCTTCAGCCGCTTTCTCTCCCTCCGACTCAATTGCATAACCTCGTGTTTCAGTCTCTTTTCGCTCTCGTCCCCTGTCCCCTTGACCGTCCCGCTCGTCGGCTTATCACTACTCGATACCCAACTGGCGATGCCTGCTTCGGGCGGGTCGCGCCATATGTTGGCGTATATAGCCGTGAAGAGCGCATTGTGCGCGTGTTCGAGGGCGGGCGTGGTGAGGATCTTGGACAGCTTGTGGGACAGCTCCTCCTGGTTGAGGTTGCCGAGGAGAAAGAAGGAGAGGGCTTTCTTGTAGATGGTCCAGTCTGCGTCGCTTATGGAGCCTTTGACTGCGGCGTACAGGGGCTCGACGTCTACACGGGGGGCGCGCGGCGCGTTGGGCTTCTTGGTGAGGTCCGTCTGGAGAGATGTGAGGCTGGGCAGGGTGCCCGACGAGAGCGTCGGCGTGGTGGAGACATTCATGTCATTGGGCCGTATGGTGCCTGCCATGATGGCGGTGGAAGCGCGCCGTGGTGGCGCTCAATGCGTCGTGATGTGCGCGTTGCGAGGTCGTCGCGCGTTGGACAGATGCGCGTGCGGGCTGTGGAGAAGGCTGAGGGCGGCGGGAGAGCGACGCCGGGGTCTGCGCGACGCTTCAAGAGTGCCAGCGGGGTCGCACGCGTATGCAATGATGGGCCCCGATGACGGGCAAGGACAGCAGGCGTTGTGCGGGGCCTACGCTGATGGACAAGCATGCAGTCGTGGAGAGCGTGAGGTCAGAGCTCGGGGGTTTGCGGAGTTGATGCTGGGGCAGCCTAACAACTTCCACAAGCCCCATGAAACCTCCACCACATGCACCCTTCCTTTCGGTCCCAGAACATTCAATGTAAACTTTATTCGCTATGCACTTATATACTAACATGATTCGTTTTCACATACGCTCCCGTCCCAATGCTAGTGCAGTCGCTTTTATGCCATGTACACCGTCCCAGCCATTGTACCGCATTGCTAGTTTTCACCAAATACATCTCCCAACTCCACTTTCCCTACGCTCCAAATCTCTCGCTCATCTTCCATCTCGTCGCTCGACAAGCCGAGACCCCCTGCGCCACCCTCGGCCTCCTTCCTTTCTCTGGCTTGCCCAGCTAGCCTCAAAGCAACCCTCTTGAAGTAGTCGCCCATGCTGCGCTGTTGACCAGCAGACAGGCTCTTGCCAGGCCCAGCCATGTACTTGTCGAACACGGCCGTCTCTTCATCCACCACCGAGAAGATGGCAAGGAACGCCGCTTCAGCCGACAGCTTAACTGGGATCACCGGATCACGCACCGATGCGAAGACCACCGGTATGAGGAGCGGGATGTGCGGACGGATCAACTCGTTGTGCTCTCGAGCAACTGTGCGAAGTACCACAAGCGCCAACCGCCTTGTATCGACGGGATGGCCAGGCTCGACTACTGGCGCAAGAGCCTCGAAAATGGGCTTGGTGTGGTCGAAGCTCTTGCTGCTCTTCTCCGATAGAAGGTATTTGCCAGCGGCGAGGATCGAGTTATCCGAGATGAACGGTTGCGAGTGTCCAACACCCTGGCATATAACATTCACTGTCTCGTCTGCAAACGATTCTGTCAGAGCCTCGGGAGCATCTAGCAGAATGGCATTTAGCGCCAGTACAGAAGATTTGTTGTAGTGGGTCGTAAGCACGCGAGCCTTGAGAAGACTGGACGCGACATCCTCGGGAAGGCAGCTGATGAGGGCACCCAGAAGTCGAGCGTTTGTAATCGCCATTGCATCTACCACATGTTAGTCACACTGAGCAGGATCAGAATCAGTCTAAACTTACCATTAGAATCATCGCTCTCGTTGTCGATGAGACCTAGGATGGCGTTCCTGCCTGCTTCGCTCATATTCTTGCCTGCCTTGCTTACGACCTCAAACAAGGCCTTCAGCATAGCCGTCTTGACATTTTCATCGCTTGTCTTGGATCCGGTCACCAACTCAGCGATGAGTGGGTCCACCCTTGGTGTAAGCTTGATCAATGTACCAAGAGCCTTGGCTGCTCGCGCTCGCAACACATCCGACGATGTGTCGGCAAGCGACTTCGCGAATGTGCGCTGGAGTTGGGGCAAGAAGGGCTTGAGGAAGGTCGGGATCTTCTCTAGCAGGTTGTTGAGTGTGAGCAGAATAGCTGCCTTCACCTCGACAGAACGCTCTGTGACTACACGGATAAGAGGTCCTGTGATCTGAGTAACAAACGGCTGGAGTGACTTCGCACTGGTGCGGTCGATGACGTCGGAGATGGCCAGCGCAGCTTGAGTTCGCTGGTCCACCGAACCGTTCATGAGACCCTGCAGGAAAATAGGCAGGATGGCGTTGATACCCTTCGGCAGTGAGAATCCAGGGAGGTCTGCACCAGCAACACCAACTTGGTTGAGTGTTTGGCGAGTGGAGATAACCAGTGACTCCATCTCTTCTTTCCGCAGACGCTTGCTTGTGAGAGTGCTAAGAGCAGTCCATGCAGCCTTGACGACTTCTGTATCGCTATCGCCAAAGGAGATGAGAAGTGCCCGGATAAGGTCAGGGTAGTATCTCGAGAAATCAACGTCTGCCTCCGCGAAGAATTTGGCCAGGTGTATATCCGCACGTGCACGTCTCCGCTCATCGTCGTGTTTCGACAATGCAAGCATGACGCTCATGGCCGTATTAAGACCATCGAATTCATCCACAGATAAGAGGACCTTGTCGAACGACGTCTCGAGTTCTGATCGGAGCTCTTCGTCCTTGGAAGCGATGACGTTGTCCATGATTGTGTTGAGAATGTTTGGCAGTCGTCGGGTCATAGCGGAGCTTGCCACCTCAGCCAACGATGCAATAGCGCGGGCATTGAAGGCAGACATAGGCGAAGTGAGGAGTGTGGGTAGGAGATTTGGTAGAATGATGTTGGATCGTTGTTGATCTGTGAGAAGGGTGAGAAGCGCTGACAGCGCGTTCTGCGCATCGTCGTTGGAACGCAGAAGATTGAGCAGATAAGGTAGGACCTGGTCGACAGCCCTCTTGCCAAAGATCTGTTGTAGAGCGTCGAAGGCTTCCGCCGCTGCTTCTCGCACATCCGCATTGGGATCCACCAGAGCAGTTCGTACAACTTTATAAAGAGTCTTCTCGTAGTCCTCGAGTTGCTCTGGCGAAGCAGCTGCAATGATTTCGCGAAGGGCGATGCAGATACCCTGCTTGGCGTCTGTATCGGTGGTATGTAGACCTTCCTCGAGGGTAGGCAACAATGTAGCAAGTACACCGTCTCCGGCTTTGCGAATGAGCTCTCCCAGCGCGTTTCCGGCGATGACCTTCTGCTCCATGTTTGAGCTTGCCAGACGGCGGATGAGAAGTTGAGTAAGCGTAGGAATAAGCTCGCGCAGAGTACGAGGGCTGGCCACCAATGCCTTCCATACGTTGATGGAGGCTGTTCGTACAAGGCCAGACGTGTCGAATCTGCAAATGTATAGAGCAGACAGGACCTTGTTGCGCTTCTCTTCTCCGAGGACTTCGAGTAGCGATTGACCAGCCTCTTTGGCGCCCTCTTCGACTTCTTCCTCTTCCACCTTGCCGCTGATACCTGTGAGATTGAACAGGAGATCTCCAACAAGCTCCACGGAACTGAGACGAATCCTGTAGCTGTCGTCTGCGAGACCTCTCTCAAGCTCTGGTAGTAGCAGGTCGATTGCCTTGGTGGCAAAGTTCTTGACCAAGAGACGACCAGCTCGCAGGGCAGTTTCTCGGATCGATTCCACTTCGTCCGCAAGACCGCCGAGAATGGGAGGAATGATCTTGCTGAGGTAGTTGGCGAAACTGTTTCCAAAGCAAACTGGCAAGAAGATGAACAGAGACATGAAACCTTCGCGGACAGAAGCTCTGCTGCTGGCCACGTTCTGCAGGATGCTTGGCAGTGTCTCTTCCAAACGTCCTGTTCCAAGACCTGCAAGAACCTCTGACAGAGCTTGGGCAGAACCAAGTCGATCTCCTGCACCCGTGTCGGACTTGAGCGTAGACATGAGACTTGGAATAAGATCCGGCAGAGCATCCTCTCCAAGCTTTTCGACGAGGGAACCAAGCGCTTTTGACGCGGTGGCACGTGTAGCCGGTACAGGGTCCACGATCGCAACCCGTAGTCCAGCGACCAAGATGGGCAGATGGGAGGTGAGGTCCTTCCTTTCCGAGAGGTATGCCAAGCTGCCGATGATTTGGGAGGACTTCCGCTTGGTTCCAGAGCGATCGCCCAGACCACGCTCCAGAATGCGCACCACGAGAGCGAGAGAAGGCGCATCGAGGAAATGTGCGAACTGGATCTTGATCAGAGCATCGAGGGCATCGTCTGTGTACTTTGTCGGGTCGCTGAGAGCCTTCAAGATGATGTTGACGACGCTCTTGATCTCAGGATTGCTGATGACTTCACCGAAGCGCTGCAAACTTCGGTTTGCTGAAGATCGGACTTCTTTGTGGCTGTCTGTCAACACAACGGTGAGGGGTGGAATGATATCGGGCAAGCTAAGAGCAAGCTGGTTGGGATCAAGATAGGCCATGGCTCCCAGAGAGTCACAGGCACCCTTCTTACTACGCCACTGATCCTCATCAAGACCTTCCAAGAGGGTTGGTAGAACCTGTTTGACACCAAAAGAACTGAGCGTGGAGAAACAAGTCTTAGCAGCATCGAGACAGGCTTCTCGGACGTCTGCACTGGTATCGCCGAATCCAGCAAGCAATTGAGGCACTAGCTGGATGACGTATGGTTCGAACAAGCGACCGAGGATCAGCGAGAAGAGCTCATATGCCAGGTACACTCCCTGCCTTTGGTTTGTGTCTTTCTTGTTCTCGCTAGCTCCTTTGAGGGTGGACATGATCCGATGTTCTTTGAGCAGACCCAGACCCTTACCGCGTACGACACCCGCCAGACCATAGGCAGCACCGCGACGCGAGGCATACTTCTTTGAAGTGAGTAGTTGATCCATCATCTGATTGATGTAATTCGACACCTCTTGCTCGGAAGTACGGACCAGCGGTGGCAGACATTGGGCAACGGCGTATTGTACTGTCTCGGAAGGCGTACTGAGAGTTGCCAAAAGTCTCTGTACGACCTTTGGAACGCGCTCATCGCCAGCCGCAAGATGACGACCCAGTGCACCATAAAGGATGATGACTGCTTCGTTGACTTGATCGTACATCTCCGACTTTCGGTCAGGGGCTTCCAGAGCGTTCTCGAATAGTTCCATGAGAGGCTCGACCTTGGTTTGCGCTTTGACGGTGATGACTGAGGTCGCAGCTTCGATCAACTCATCTCTGACCGCGGGACTTCGGTCTCCCAAGGGGCCCTCGTAGATCAGGAAGTTTAAGAAGTCTACAAGGTCATCGGGCTTGAAACCTGGTGTCATCTCCTTGAAGGCAAGCGCAATACCGTCTCTACTCTCCCAAGGGTCGCGAAGATCGACCTTTCGTGGCATGCCGTACTCATCACGCTCCGGGACGCG